CTCCACCTGGGTCTGACATTTCTGAACAAACCTGGCAGTGAAAGTACAGCATCTGAAGTTGTTCACTGTTCAAAAGTGAAGCTACCTCACAGTTCAAGTGCCCCCAAGCAGGCAGACATTTTAAGGTCTTGTATGCTGATCTGGGGATTGAAATTCTACCTACGGTCTCCTGTAGCTCCCACATCCTGTTGAGGATCTGGACCAAAGTATCCAAGACTGATATGTCAGAAGGAAAAGAAAAAAACAACTTATGAAGTCTCCAGACTTTGGGACTGCATATTCCTTTCTTTGTATAGCTTTTAACACAAAGAATTTAATCACGTCTGGAGTTCTGAAATACAGGACGGTGAACATTAGCCAATATAGCTAGTTTTGTGCAGCATCCAAGAAGACTGACTTCTGACTTCTTTTTAATTACATATGCTTTTTATTTTTAAATATATTGATGGATATGTTGTGTCCTTGCTGTTAATTAAAGGTAGCACAGTTTTGCCCTTCCTTTTTTCAGCACAATTAGCAAGGATTGCCTAATGAATCTTAGTGCATGGCCATGATTTAAACACATTTAATCTATACTGCATTTCCACGCTGTCACTTTCTGTTCATTACCAGGGTACATACTCACAAAACCAAAAGAACACAGTGGTGAAAACCACTATAATCATTGCTTTGCATTCAGTAAATTACTGAGCAGCACTAAAATAAACTGAAAATAGTACCAATTTTACTGTACTAATGGTTGCATGTATAAAGTATCAGCCTTTGGATATGTCAGTAATAGCCTTAAATTGAAACAATGCTAAATATTCAAGGCAAATTAACAGTCACTGCTACTGGACTAAGTAAGTTAACACAGAAGTAACTTGAAAGTTTTTGAGATAATAAAAGCAGACAAAACATAGAGCTGGGGGTTTGGAACTAGATGATCCTAAGATCCTTTCCAACCCTAACTATTCTATGATTATGTAATTCTATGATAACTTAAACCCAGGCTTTTAACAAAACAAAACATGGTACAAGGACAGTGATGATGCTCATGTTTCAAAAGTACTTAAAACAATGCAACCATCTTGGATACATTAGAATGCAAGATCCAGATACTCATACCTTGGTATTCACACACGTTTGTACAAGTAGGCCAACTGTGAAATGCCTGTTAAATAAAACTCCAATCTCCCTATAAGTATGAAACACTGCTTTAAAATGTGGTGATGAGAGAAGAAGAGCTATTTTATAGACCGAGTTACAGTTACTGGGTCTGTGGATTCAACATTAAGAAACCCTGAAAAAGAAATGTTCAGGAGTTCCAATCAACTACAGACGTGGATCTTTTGCACATTCCATTAGAGTTTTTCCTGCATGCATGCTGGTAATTCATGTTTTTCCCTAAACAACACATATTAGCTCATACATTGTAACACTGACTGTCATGGCAGTGTTAATACAGCAACCAATTAGAGAAGTACCTAAAAATAGTGTTAAAAACTTTTCCTTTAGAATGCAAATACCACCATTAAATACAATGAGCCAACACTTGAGATCAGTATAGATCTTTAAATATCACACACAAGCTATTCAAGTTTCTTAACACAACAAAATTGGCAATAAAATAATGTCAAACTATGTGTTGTTGGTAAAAATAGCTCATTTTCCAAATGCAGTTCTGTAAATGCAGAAAAACTGTAACTGTCTTGTATATACCATAAGCTATTTATCTAAAATGGTACTGTCAGTGAAACAGATGTCACAGCACAATATCCCTGTGCCACCCACGTTCTGTTTTCCCAGTTGCCAAACAGAACTGTTTTGAGTTATTTACTGAGTGATCAAACTCAAGTATTTCTGCAGTGAACTCCATGCTACATTAAAGAAAAAAAGTACTTGAAAACTGAAATGTAATTTCACATGATGTGTTACCATGATCTAATGTATTCAACATGCCTTCCCCATTACAGACTTTGAAAAAAAGACTGAAACCTTAGCAGAAGGTCAAAAAAGTCTTATTTTTAAGAATTTTGTACATCAGCTTTTTCCATTGTCTTCCCGTCCATTATACTAAATTTCAAGCTTCTGTTTTTAAACATCTTCACTCAGCTGAGGAAGATGTAGAAATAGTATGTTTCCTCCCCAGTCCTAAAAAATCATCTGTTCTTTGCAGGATAACTGCATAAAACCTAAAAATCATGCCAGAAAGTAAACTAGGCTTAAAGGGACTTTTGAAGGTATCTGGTGGCAGGATCACATTACCTACTGTAGGGCCAACTTGGGGCAGCCCACAGGGTTCAGTGTCACTTGTCAGGGACCCATCTTGGTCTGCATTTGCCACGTGCCACCCTACATTGTAGGACTTTGTCATCTGTTTTTTATTCTGTCCTTTCATGCTGTCTTGCTTTTTCATCTTTCCTCCTTTTTTCCATCCTTACCACAGAGATCTCTGGAGTTTATTGGTATCAGGCTTCCTTAAGGGTGAGACAGGGCATGAGACTATCCACGGTTCAAACAACGCACCCATGAACTCTAAATGCAGAAACCTTGTAGTCTGTTCTCATCTGTGTCACCAAACTGTTGCCACAATTCAAGTCACCAGATTTTCTCAACCTGTACCCTTTAAGAAACCAGACTGTATTTGTTTGAAAGCTTCTGAAGGCAAATAGGAAGCACAATTAAATTCATTTTGAGTACTCTGTCTGCATTCACATTTTTAAAAGTAACTGACACGCCAAAGAAAGTGAGATCAGAAAAAAAAATGTAGTTAAGTTTGCATATTCACAGTTTTCTAGTACCAAAAAAAAGTGCTTTAGTTTTATAAACAGGGAAGAAAGGAATCTACAAGACATTAGAGATACATATGCATTCTAGCAACCCAATTAATACATTCAGAGCAAATGACAGCTAAACAAGAAAATAATCTCATATCTAAGACCTTTTTCTCCCAGGAAATACCTTGAGAATATAAAACTTTCTTCAACTTTTCAAGATGACTAATTAAAAAAGTACTGAAATTAACATTAAAATACATTCTGGTACCTCAAGAGGTTTTTCATCTGATAAGATTTTTACTCGTTGATACTTGTTTGCCAATAAGCCACCTAACCCTTCAACTATCCAGCTTTATGATTCCTTATTTAGACCTCTCAACTTTGTTGAGCTGCTTTCAGATTACAACACAAAGTCTTAAAGATAAATACAGCAGGCATATTTTTTAGCAGAACACTTGCCAGTTTGGCAACAGCAGAATCAACAACAGATAGGCATAAGAATCACTGGTTAAAGGAAAGAAGAGAATTTTGTATATACCCCTGTAATAAAGTTCTTTCAAAGAAAGAAAGAACAAGAGATGAGAGAAGCAAAGTTATTAGAACTTTCAACTCTAACCCATCAATTTCAGACAGCTGCCTAGCAATTCACTGACCTAGTGCAGAAAAAAAAAAAAAGTGAAGAAATTTCCATTAGAAATAACCGAGATGGCAAATTCTGAATTTGATATACTAATTTGATTATATACAATTTCATTTTGCATTGACATAGCACACTTGTGATGACTGGAAGCAAGTTATAGATTCAGACCTCCTTCAAATCCAGTTTATGGGCAGATGAAGGTACATTAAAAAGTTCCTTCATATACCATAGTCTCTATCATTACACACATTTAGCACAAATTGTCAAGGTAATTACAATGCACTGTGAAATATTACATTATTTAGAAACCAACTAATGTAGCTAAAGAACCCCTTTGTTAATTAGAGCAAATACTTTGTTGGTGTTGAACCTTCTTTTAATTTTCTTAAAAAAACAATGACGCATTTTGAGGAAAATGAAACTAAGCAGAACAAAAAGGAAAATATAAAATTACAAGTGTATAGGTGTTAAACTTGGTTAGACAATTTAAAAAATTGAGAACTTTCTGGGTTTACTTTTGGTGGACATATTGTGGCTTGTCCTAAAACTGAAAGCACCTGCCCATACTGCTAAAATATGACTCTCCCTCTTCAAAGTTAGGAACACAGGCAGAATAGCCAGTTTTCTGTGAGTCACAGGCTGGTAACCCCCTCCATCTCTCTATCCTTCTGTTTATATGCCTGCAAAGATCTGGTGGATTGAGTCTTCTGAACTATTAATACAGGGCTGTTAAAGAAACAAAATAGTGAACACTTCCCTGATACTCTGAATAACTAGTGGGTAATAAAACCTTACCTCATGAATAACCCTACTGCCCTATAAATGCAGACATTTCAATTTCAGTATTAAATTTCCAGTAACATACTGCTATATACATCAGCATTTATGGGGTTGACCTTTGTAAGTCCTCTGGTTTAAGAAAAGAGCTGTTTAAAAGATAATTGCTGAAGACCCACTGAGCCCTCTGTGCATAAACTCCCTTTCCAACTTATATTAGGCCAAAAATCAGTTTGACAATCCCCCTGCCTCAACAGAGGACCTCCGCCTTTTGCCCTTCTGGTCACTGCTTTTCCAAACATTTCTTCATGTAATTGCCATTAACCACAATTGGAAGTTAATACTATATATCAGTGTCAGTAGATAAAACACATGTATAAAACACCTTAATATACTGAGTGATTAACTTTCTTGAGGAAGAAAGTGCATTACAAATCTTTAAAAAGCCAAATTTTTTCACAAAATCTTCCCCAAATATTGTTAGTGCTAAATCCAAAAGCATAGGGAAAAATAGTAGCTACATCTCAGACCTTATCGATGCGACAAAATGCTGAGTAAAGGTTTATGCCTTTTTGCTGGCATTTTTTCTTGATTTCTGTGTGATTAGGATCATTCTGGAGTTAAAAGGTATTGATTTACTAGAAGGCTACCTCATGTTTTACATTTTCAATCCTATTGAACAGATTAAACAAAAAGACCTTTTTAGAAAAACATGAAACTTTTTGAGTATTGCTTACTCTACTATATTGGGATCTGTACGATACAGAAGGACTCAGCACTTATAAAGACATTATTACATACATCCTAATTAAAAATTGACCAACCTTTCCTTCAGCATCTGTTCCTGTTACCTTCTCAACCTTGTTCCTGTTTAAAAACTTCTTCACCCATTCTTCCACTTGAACGTTGAACTTCATGAAAGTCACATAGCAAAAATACGCTGTCAGGAGTGTCAAGCTTTCCCACCACATGATCAAGTTATCCAGAAAAAAGATGATCAGCAAGATCAAGTCAATGATGTAAAAGGACACATCTCGAAAGAGTGGCCACCAAGTAAGGTTCAAGATCTCTCTAGAAAATAAAGCACACATTCCAATAACAAACAGAATATTGAACACGGCAGATCCCACTATTGTACCAATGCCAACATTGCTGTGGGATATAAACACTCCTATTAAAGAAGTGAACAGTTCTGGAGCTGACCCACCAGCAGCCATGAAGGTTGCCCCTGCCACATCATCAGATATAGTCAGTTTTTCTGTGATGACAGTCAAGGAAGGAACAAAGAACTCATCGCAGACTATGGCTAAGGCTATAAACATGTAAATCATTCCAATTACATGGAGGATCACTGCTCCCTTCCTTCTCTCCTCAAGAGAGAAAAGGTCCTTGGGGTACTCTCCCTTGGCATGACCATCTGTTGCATTGTCATATTCAGCTTCATATTTCATAGCAGTGTATGGGTCTGGACTGTCGTTTCCATTCTGTTCCGTGAAATCCAACAGAGTTCTTTGGTGCCCGTGCACCAGCTTTTGGCTATCTAGGCTGCTGGCCAATGCCATGCTATGTGGTTCCATCTTGAAAAAGGCACTAATCGAAAAAGAGAAAGTGCTCATGGCCACTACACTGACAAGAAGGCCTATAATTCGTATCAGTCTCAGTTTTTTCCTAACATTCTGGTGCCGTCTGCAACTGAACAGTGGTTCCTCCAAACACCACTCCTCCAAGACACCAGCAACAGTTTTCTTTTGAAGAGCCATTTTGTGTTCTGTGTGAGATGCTGAATCAGATGGATTGTTCCCTCATGCTTTTCTCCAGCTTTGAAGTTAGAAGTGCTTTAAGTTTTCTCAGAATCAAGTACTTTTACTCTTCATAGGAAGCAATTTCTTCATTCGTCCTAAAAGGACAAACAGGTACTATTAATATTAGTGAAATAGAATGTGATTAGAAGTGTCTGAAAAGCATTTTACAGGCTGTGTTAAATTTAGACTTTAAAGCAGAATATTACCAACTGTAACAAAAAACCCTGTCACATCCCATCAGACACAGCAACAAGACGTTTGTTTCAGCAGTAACCCTGCAGATAACAGTCTATCAATAGTCAGATCATTTTATGCCTCTGAGCCACTGCCCTCCTCAAAAAAATCCGAGTGGAAGGTGAAAGTTGTCCCCAAATGTTGTGTAAAAATGAAGAAACTACTATTTTAATGGATACACCGAAGATTATTACCTTCTGTAATTACTTTTCATCATGATCATGTAAAATCCAAATCTCAAATGCAGGGGCAATAAGGTATGAAAAAGCAATCAAAATGCTAACATGTATCTCATCAGACCTTTAGGCAGCCGAGGAGATATTAATTGAAATGTTATGCATGCACAGAGCAAGACTATTGATATGTAGGTAAAACACTATGCCAACTATGCTGCTGGAATAGGATTCAAATGAAGATTTAATACATCCACAGTTTAATTCCTCTGCAAAATCGACTCAAGTTTACATACAGAGAACTGAGTTTGCTTCTGTTGAGACCTAGGATACTAGCTTGGACTAGCTAAGACCTCTGGTTTTGGTTTATGTCACACATTCGGTTACAAATGTAGGAAGTTACTAAGAATACCTATGTGATAAATGCCTTTTTAAAATCATTTCTCTTACAGATCCTTAAGAAAATAGTTTAAATTTACACAAGACTTGATCCTGAAACAAATGAAATGGTGCAAAATTAATCTATGTGAGAAGAACTATTCACGTATGCCAGAGCTGAGCGTTTTAGACCAACAGAACTTTTAAATCAGGAAAACTCCCACTATATAATAAGAGGTGCTCTGGTTACTGACTTTGAAGAATACATGTAACATAGAAATGCACTGTAAGTTACATTTTCTATGACAGGAAATATAAAATATTTTCTAAATAAAATTATTAGTCCTTGCTATTGGAGTCAAAAAATACTTTGTTACACCACTTCAGTCATTTGTTGTACTGGCTGAACACTGAACAATCTGTTTATCAGTAGAATATTGATCTTGTATTCTCAAATACAGAATTACAAATATGCCCTGCAGTTATTTACATAAAAGTTATTAAGTTATGGGCAGTTCCTCCTTATTTTTGCGAGCAGCTTCCGTACTAAGAAGATGTCACAGATTTATACTCCATCTGCAAGACGCAGCACCACAGCAGAGGTATTTTATTTTCCGCCTCGGAGTTACTGCCCACCGGACTGTCATAAAAACATTAAGCAAGAAAGGCACCGGAACGACGCTACTGCTGTTCTGCGCGATTTAGGGCGGATGCGCCCATCACCCCCTCGCCGTTATAAATCACCTGAGTGGGAACGGGAAAAAGCGCCCGGGATGTCCCCTGCCCAAAAACTCTCAGCGCAGCGCCCAGCCAGACCGCTCCCGGTACCCATCCCCTGTCTCCCCTCCCTGCCCGTCAGCAAGAAAGGCACCGGAACGACGCTACTGCTGTTCTGCGCGATTTAGGGCGGATGCGCCCATCACCCCCTCGCCGTTATAAATCACCTGAGTGGGAACGGGAAAAAGCGCCCGGGATGTCCCCTGCCCAAAAACTCTCAGCGCAGCGCCCAGCCAGACCGCTCCCGGTACCCATCCCCTGTCTCCCCTCCCTGCCCGTCCGCCTCCCCGTCCCCCCGCGGAGATGCCGCAGAGGCTCGGCTAACTCAGCCCAAGTTTGCACCGCGCCGCGCCCCGCTGCACAAACTTTTTTTCCCTCTGCGAAAGGGGAGTGAGTCCAACCCCGAAGAGT